GCCGATTTGTTTTGGGTTGGTTGACTAGGGAAATCCACGTCACGTCTCAGATGCCCAGTGGATTTCCCATGGGGGAAAAAGGGCATCGGCATCCGATTTTTTTGGGCTGGTTGATTTCCCATGAAAACAAAAGCGGCAGCCGATTTTTGGGTTGGTGAACTTTAAAGGAATCGGAACCCTTCCCGAAAAAAAGTGGAAACAACGGGCACCACTGGGCAACTGGGGGTCTCTCTGTGTGTGTGTGTGTCGAAATGTGCGTAGAAGAAACAACAACATGATCCACAGGTCTTCCTTTTGGGTGTCCATATCCCAAACAAGGGTAGCAAAAAAGACCCATCCGTTTACCCGAATAAGTAACTGAGGGAACCACAGTTAAAAAACATAACTGGGCTGCCCTCAGATCTCCTGCTAAAAGTTAAAACAACTTTTAGTGGGTTTTGTGGGGAAACCTCCACGAAACGCTAAAAATATCAAGGGCTAAGGAACCGGATGGCTGGGAGCCACCAAGAAAAGGAGAATGGTTGGTTGCCGGCTGGGATCCACTGGCAGCCAGGTTCGGGGCTCAAACGGCCGGTGAGCTTCATAGAACACCAATTCGGTTCTTTGCACTTGACGAGATGGGCACGCCTGCTTTGCATCTGGCCAATTTTGGCCGCAAGTGTACCAAGCTTGGGCTGCGACCGAAAAATGTTCGTTCAACCGAACAGCGGTGCCACACCTTGGACCCTGACCTCAAAGACTAAAGACCATTTAAGGGGTGGCGGATCCAAATGTTCATCCACTGTTAGTCGGGGGCAGAGTCCAAGCCATACCCCCTTTTGCACCTTGCCCTTGGTCGACAAGACTGAAGTTTATGCCTCCAAATCAGCTGCCCCACTTTTACAGGGCAATCTGCTCAGAATGAACACCTGGTATTGAAGTGGGGATAACGCAAAACCACGAGGGCTACTTGGAGCGCCACCGATTTTTCCGGCTGGGACTGTCCAATACTCAACCTTCAGATACCCGTGTTGTGAGTGTGGCTCATTCAGTGACAACGGAGCCTACAAAGGTCAGAACAACATGTGGGGGTTGTCACAACCACCGTTGTCATATTGGATACACATTTTGAACACATCGGTTCTTTTCTGCAAGGCCAGAAATCAAGATCTACGATGGATGCAATGACACATGCCTGTGACCGTCCCATTTAGCCCCGCCATCGCCCTTTCGTTTGCCAGGGCCAAGTACTGTTGGAAAGGTTGCCATGAAAAACTACTGAATTCCCGACCACACCTCTAGGTTTTTCTTCTTCAGGTTGCCCTGACATGGGGGCCCGTCAAACCTCAACTACCTCAGCTTTTGTCCAACAAAACCAGCTTGAGTCTGGTCGTCTAGCGAACCGTCCTCAGCACCTGCCAAGGGCTATCTAGTTCTTTAGGCTTCCATTTGCTTAAGTCCACTGGACAAAATTAAAATACTTCCAGTAGTGACAGATTCCCTTTAAAACCATCAGGGGAAAATGAAACATGATTCAAGCGAATGGAAGTAGGGGATGTTCAAGGCCAGAAGACTGCCCTCAGCTCTCAGTCAGGTTTGGGCCGCTAAAGCAAGCGCTTTTCGCTGAGCGTCTCGGCTCAGCCCCGGGGTGGTGGGGCCCGACACCCCACAGAACTTCACCACTTTCAGCATCGAGAGCCAGACCTCGAAAGGGCAGATTCGTCCGTTCCACCGCTCCGACGGTTTTGAACGGAACGAACGCACCCTCAGATGCCCTTTGCTGATTTCCACGGGGAAAACAGACTCGGCATCCTTTTTTGGTTGGTTGACTTTACAAGCCTTCCCAAAAAGAAAGGAAACAACAGGCACCACTGGACAACTGGGGAGTCTGTGTGTGTGTGTCAAAATGTGGGCCTTCCTTGAAAGGGGAACCCTTCCCCCAAACCAAAGTTGAAAGGGGCGGAATCCACTGGCCAACTGGGCACCAGTCATACCCATTGCCGTTTCAACTCTTTACCAAAGTGGATGCTTACGCTTCAAGCAGGAAGCCTTGGATCGAAGGAAAGCAACCATGTGCCACAGCCAGCTTGTTGGATGTTCAAGAAATGCGTTCATGCGGTTTCCGTGCCACTTCAGAACGACTTTCCAGGCCCACCCGAAAAAGAACTACAAGAAGCAAAGGGAAGTTGCCAAAATCTGGGACCCATCAATTGGATGCACGCCTCGGGATCTTGTGACTGGAGCTTGTGTAAACCCAGCTTGCTGGCTCCATAGCCTTGGTCTTTTTTTGATTCCCCTTCATTTCACTGTAAATGAACCCCAAACAAGGTACCCTCCAAAGGATACCCATGTTCAGAATTCAGAGACCCCACCTGGTGTCGCGTGGGCTGGTTGAGGCGGACGGCGCAGCACAGAGCCCGCGCGGAACTGCTGCTCAGGAAAGAGCTGATGCGCACAATCTCCAACTCCAAGTGGAACCTTTGAATGGCCAAATGAGTCACTTGCTCAAAACCCGGTATTAAAATGGTTGACCCAGAACCATGTAAGGAAATACAAAGGCGAAGATCCGCAGCTATGGCAAGGGGATTGTCCCTTGCCCTTCAGCTCAAATGGGCGGGTCTAAAATAGGGAAACCGGGGAACTCCATGGTTTCCCCTTGCTTCCTTTCAATCCATATCCAAACAGTTTGCACCCTTTCAATCCCCAAACAGAGCACCCTCAAATTCGAATATGGTGCAGAACAACCCCCCAACTCTGTGATGTAAACCAACGTGGGGATTCCTTTCTCAGTTTCAAGAAGGAAACTCGGTTCACATCAAACGTCCGTCCCCCCCAAAACCCCCCGCCCCCCGACAACCTCCTAGGGCCCAGCCGGGCGGTACATTTTTTAGGTGAGCCTCGAAAAATGTGAACCTCCTGCGGTTGGTGGACAATCCCCACCTAAACTTACCCCTTAAAACTCCAAGCCCTGGGGAAGTTAATCTTTTACAGACATATAGCCCATGTTACCCAAAAAGTTGAAAAGTTGTGTTTTTAAGAGGGGAGTATTTTTTTGTCTACATCTCCAATTCAAGACCCATTCGCGAAACCTCTCTGGTAAGGCGCTCGCCTACGAAAGTGCCTAAGGCTCAGCTTCCAAATCAGGGGTCTTGTATTGGGAAGGTAAATGGAGACCTGAACGTTAGACCTACATCTAAATTTAACACTTGGTGTTCACAACCGCCCAAACAACCTGGCCCAGCGGATATTGAAAATGTAATGGCTATAGGGTGAATCGTATACCTGGTTGGGTTAATGAAACTCTTCGACAGTCAAAATGCAGCTGTTCTAAGGGCTTCCACCGAACCATGAAAGCAAACATGCACGGCCCACTGCCGTTCTTCGAAATGTTTTCAAGGCGGTCGACCACAGTTCCCACTAGTCGAGGCAAGCAATTTCAGCGGGAAGCTCAGCCGAAGGGACAACCAAAAAGGTGAAGGGAATCCCATGCAAAATTGTGCAAAAGGGAGGGTTTGAGCTACGAACATGCCAGGCGCTACGTTTTGGCCAGGCCACTTTTTGGACTTCGGACCCACATCGACGGCCGGGATCTTCAAAATCCCCTGCCAGGCAAATCCCCCCGCGGCGCCGTCTTCCTTTGCCAGGCGCCGCCGCACGGCGACGGACATGGGAGCGGCTTCACATGGGAAGCCACTCACTTCCGAGAGAAGGGCTCCGGAGGTTCTTGCTTGCGACTGGTTACATACGCGCAAAGCACGTTGCTAGTGGTGCTACCTCCGTCTGACCCGATGTTTTCTTGGTTGCTTTGTGCTCCCCTGCTAAAAGTGACTCACTTTGAGTGGTTTAATACGGAGGAAAACGACAATTAGTTCGCAAAAAGTTAAAGTCGTAACATCCCTTGGCAACATGCACCAAAGGTAAGGGACACCCCATACTCACAAACAGGGTTTTTGTGAATCCGGGGTCAACCTTACACATCACATGTTTTTTTTGCACAGCGTGCTTTGTGTGCTGAGAACAGAGCCATCTTGATCAAGCAGTTGGCCTTTAGGGTCTGTGGCTAGGTCCTCCAGTAGAGAGGTTAGAATAAGACCTCTTTTGCTTGCAGGAAGAACTCAATGATAGAACCACGTCCCAGCCCCTGGTAAAGCAAGCAACAAACGTTGTTCGTTGCAGCTCCCACAAAAAAACAACAACAACGGGGGCGGCAAGGGTTGGGCCTGTCGCTGAAGGCTTGGGAAAACAGTAAGAGGGCTAAAGAGTTACTAACATCATTTTGGCAGAGTCATGACTCAGTTTGGTTTTATGGTGCCCCTACCCCGCTTCTGAGACATCATTTGATGAATCCCCTCTAGAGAGCCCGTCTTGTGAGCAACCCCGGAAGCCATACCAGGAGGGAGGGCTGAGCCAAGCCCCGGCAACATGTTTAAACACCCCTTAAAAAACCACCTCCTCTCGCTGCCGGTTTGAGGGGCCCAGGGTCTGGCCAACTCAGGGGGCGGCCCAAGTGGTTGAACATGGGGGTCAGATATGAGATGGATATTTAGGGGTCATCAACATATCCGGATCAAGTTTGAACTGCACTTCACTGCTCTGGTGTTTGTGTGTTTTCATTGTGGTTCTGGGAGCTGCAGCCGAATGGCGGCAAATGGTGACTAGTAGTAATTATTAGGGAATATGAAGGACTATGAAGGCTCTACGTGTTAGTGAATGTTAATGGAGCAGCCTTTGGAGGACATCATTCAGGGGGATAAAACGGTCCACCAACAGCTGGTTCTGTACTAAAACTCGATCTGGGCGAACATGAGTCCAATACTCTGCCGAGCTGGTTGTGTACTGAAATCTGCTACAATACTCCCAAGGGGAAGCCGTACTAAAATCCGAAGGACCCAATACTCGGTTGCTTTCTGCTCCCCTGCTAAAAGTTTGACTTTTGGTGGTTTAATGGAAAACCCATTAGTTGGCAACAAGTTAAAGTCCAAGCAAAATGCACAAAATAATATTGGACCGGGCGTTCCGACTGTTGCCATTCACCGTGACGGTGGCCGTGTCGGAGTCGTAGCACGCGAGCACACACCCGCTGGTGTCCGCACTGGAGACCTGCAAAAAATCGGAACAAACACCACCCAAAGTGTTGGACGCACTGGGAAAATCGCATCCCTTTTTCCTTTGTTTTGCTGTGCAGTGGTGTTCCTCATATACAAAGCCGCTGCTTTGAATATCTTAACTATCGGAGCAATGGCATGCAGGGGTTCCTGTTTTGGGGGTGAGGGTTGGTGAAGTCAAGAACAAATGCCCCGCAAGTCTGGAGCTTCCAAAGGTGAGTTTGAGGGTGCGGGCACCCGCTTTGGTGAGGTGCTTGGTGTTTTAACCAGGGAAAACAGGGCTCGAAGGGTCGAATTCAAACAACTGAAGCAAAATCGAACCCAACTTGTTGCTCAGTAACAGGGTGTTGGGCATGAATCGTTTGGGGATTCCTAGGAGGGTTCTGAGGAGCCGGGGGTGGGGGAAGTCCAAGAGACCCGTTTCAACCAACGAAGCACAACTCAAACCAAAGCCATGAAGGGCGAAGCGAGAGTATCAGCTCATTGCTGCCAGCTCGGCATCAGAAGTATTTGGGGATCTCTCAATTCTACAAACTACCTGGACCCTCAAACATTAAACCAAAACTTAGCCTCTATAAATAGGGGTGTCTGTCGTTTTCGCCGTACCCGAAAATAAAAGCGTAAACAATCACGTAAATAAATCAAGCTTTCTGGTTGGCCTGGCCCTTAATAGGAAGAGTCCGTAAATAATATGGTAAATAGTGAGGTAAATTAGTTGTAACTTATTTTGGCTTGCCCGATCTTGAGTGACCCTGCGTGAGCTGGACTTAGTGTCCCTCATTGACAGGGATGTGTATTGGCGAGAATCTTCCCATTCGCGAATTTAACCTGCTCATATCACTGAAGGAAGGCAAAGCGTCATGAGTCATGAACCATTGGAAGATCCGCGACAACTTTGACATGAATGTTCATGCGTACTGGTAGCTGCGAGCCACAGTTTTTGCTCGCGAGCATGTGTCGCGTTGGCAAAGCCAAAAAGCTCCGGACGCAAAAGCGCGTGCGCCCATGCTTGCGCTTGGGTTGCGTTGCCATGCTAATAAGCAGCCAGAACCCCCACCAAGATACATGTCAATTTGTGTTTAGTGATCATGAGAAAGGAGATGTTGTAGGAACCGAGGGCTAGGAACACTGCGTCTTGTCAAAGAACGTCCGGTATGTCCGGTCATTGGTTATGTCAGCTGCGTGAACAACATTAAGAATATTTGAGGGCGCTTTCCAACAATCAAGACTTAGTCAGCTTTTTGTTGGGCGACCTTGCGAGGGCCAATCTTGAAGAACATCAAGATTAACGTCTATATTCCTAACATGCACCTGGCGCACAGACACACAGACACCACCCACACACACAAACACACACATGCACACACGACTCTACGAGGTTGTCTCCGCGTGGCCGCTGATCCAACCAGTCAGGAGTTGCAAAGGATGATTTTAAGCCTTGCCTTCTTGCAGCTTTGCTTGCCGCGTTGTGGTACTGTCGCGCGTTGTTTTTTGTTTTTTTTCTTTGCCGCGGCTTCGCCTCGTTTGTCCGCAAGACCCAGGGAATCCAAGAACCGATTCCAGAAACCCAGTTGAGCAAAGGCCGGAAAAGAGGAGCGATCGATGCTGTCACATGTGCACGCAAGTTCTGCGGACGGACCTCCATGCTCAAAATGTGTCCCCTGAACGGTTCAGAACGGTTCAGCCAGCCTTTTTCTGCGTAAATGGTTGCGTAAATTTTCGCGTAAATTTGAGACAAGTCTTTGCCTTTTTGTGCTTTGAGATTTCGGATCGCTTGCGATGTTCCGATGCCGGCCTGACCTTTTACCTAGGACTAGGAACCGCCAGCCGCGTGCTCACGAACCGTTCCGAGGAACGGTGGCAACCAAACTGCATGCCCCTGAACCGTTCTGAACCGTTCCGAAAGCATTGGAACGCGTGCCCCTGAACCGTTCTGAACCGTTCCGGAGGCATTGGAACCCATGCCCCGGAAACGTTCTGAACCGTTCTGGAGCCCATCTAGCAAGCAGCGCACAGAGCAGGCGTATAGTTCAGAACCGTTCTGAACCGTTCTGAACCGTTCGTCACTCAAGCTTCCCAGGAACCGTTCTGAACCGTTCAGGACGGATTGCAGCATCATACTATGAACCGTTCTGAACCGTTCAGCAGTCATTGCAGCAGCATACCCTGAACCGTTCTGAACCGTTCAGGAAGAATTGCAAGCAGCATGCCCTGAACCGTGCTGAACCGTTCAGGAGGGATTGCAGCATCATACCCTGAACCGTTCTGAACCGTTCGGAGACATTGGAGCTGCGTACCTAGGAACCATTCCGAAGATTGCAACAGCATGCTCAGGAATTGCTCTTGCTTCTGCTCACGCATGCTTAGGCTTACCAACCACGTGTTTAAGACTTAAGATGTTTGGCCTCCTAACATTCGCACGGCAGCTGCTAAGGATTTAACAATTCTCATTCAATCAACACCTTGGGCGCTTGTTATGGAGATGGGAGGGGCGCGTTGGAGCCTTACCTTCCCTTACCTTCTTTGTGCCAATGTTTTGCCATTGGCTTGTCTGATTGTCCCCTTTTATCTCTGTTCAGGCCTGTTACATGGCAAATGATGCAGCTTCCAGCTTCCAACACTGAGGCACACATTGTTTACATGATATTTTACGTGTTTCTTTAAGGCCTGTTTTTGTTTACATGAATACTTACATGAAGAGTGACGTGGTTTGTTACATGACTATTGGCCGGTTTTAACCTCCACAGAGATAGAGGCTAAGTTTTGGTCTAACTCAAACATGACAAAACCCAACGATGGACATTTTAACAGGGTGTCAGCACATGTGAGCCACAGTCAAAACACGCAATCGTTTCTATCACGGACAAAAATCGCTGCGTGAGCACCCTTAGCTTACGCGGTGAAGTTGGGATTTTGGACATATCCTGGCTTCAGCAGTTGAAATTTGTCCGGGCGTTGCCTGGTCAGTTTCGCGTTTCGGTTCGAAAACCGAGCCAAAGGGGAGCGGTTGCCTCCTTCCGGGCGCTTCCGAACCAATCCCTCGCTTGAGCGGATTGGCTGATGTCCAAAGTTTCTGGGCTTCGTGAAGAGTGTAAAGCCCAGAAACTTGGGACGTCAGCCATCTTAAAGGAACCTGGTTAGCCAAGTTGCTGCTTTTCTGAGTCACTGCTGGTTTTTGGGGTAAAGTGGATGGAAAAAAGCGATCGCGTCCAAGTACGAGTCGTGATAGATTTCCTTTAAAGCCAACAGGGGAAAATTCGCCTCGGCTTCAGGGCCGGGAAGCGGTCAAACCCCTTCAGCCGACCCCATGTCGCGGCCAAAATCCCTGCAGCTGCCTCCAGTCCGCCTGAAGTGAGCGCCCCAAAACAGACGTAGAAACCAGCCAAACTCGCTTCTAGAAACCTGTCAAATCCCCTCTGAAAACCGGTCCAACTCCCCGTCAAAATCCCCCTAGAAACCGTCAAAAGCAAAAAAAGCCGTCCAATACCCTAGAAAATTGGACCCTGCAGCTCTCTGCGGCTCTCGGTCTAGCCCTTGAAGCCAGATGGAATCGTGCGGACATGCGCCCACCCGCTAGCTTGGAAACCAGCTCACGCATTTCTGCGCCGACTCGCTCACTTGAATAACATCACTTCAAGGCAAACTGAAGCACAGTATATACCTCAAAGCCGGCCAAAAGCGGACTGGCCGAGGCAGGCAGCGCGAAGCGTTTACAAGTAAAAAAAATATTAACAAAATATTATGGAGCAATCGGAAGCATTCTAAGGGAAGGATCCATGTACCAGAGCCACCAGGTCTCTGCTCCTTCCCGTCCCCGGGTTGAGTCTCCAGCGCCATGGGTACAGGTGACGTTGGCAATGCCGTCGTAGGTGCCTCACTCGCCCATGGGCCGGCGGGCGTTTTTCGGGAAGAAAACCACCCCGTGGGCTCCCCGTGAACATCCGTCAAAATCCTTCCCCCCCCCCACGTCCTGCAACTCGCCCTGACTTGAAGTTGCTCTTGGAAAGCATTCCCAACCCCAAACCCACCCTCATGTCTAGGTGATAGTGGACAGTCCGGGGAAATTCAGTCCGCCCGCATGCGAAGCGGGTGTGATACCACACCAACTGCCGACATCAAAGGCTTGGTTTCGCCATGTGCCAATCGGCTCAAGTTGGAATTGGACCCTTCGGCGGTCCAGCTATTTCTCGCGCCACAAAAAGACCGCCTCTCAGTTTGAGCAACCGAGTGACTCGCAGGCTTGGTAACGCTGAGAATTTGCGCGTCTTTCAGGGAAAGGGCTTTAAAGAGAAATCAACAGGAAACCACACGTTTTCATCATGTTCTTCTCCAAGGGACTCAGGCAGCAGCGTTCAGCAAGGACTTTGTCCAATGTGACACAGTACAGCCGAAATGGGGCAAAGCATGAACCCCCTTCCCTGTCCCATCCTTCCTGGGCCAAGTCTCCTTTCCCAAGTCTCCTTCCCCAGCCCCTTCTTTGTTCTTGGTTGACGTTGGAAGGGGAGCAAAAAAAAACGTTCAGTGGTTGGATTTCGCACTAAACCACAAAAAGCAAACATGGGAAAAATGTTTCCCAACAGCAACCATGTGTTTCTCCGACAAAGTGAGTGGCTGCCAGGTCCGCTTTCTGAAGTCACACTTCACTGACAGAAGCTGAGCAAAGAGCTTCTGACCACATGAATTATCGGTTGCTTTCTGCTCCCCTGCTGAAAGTGACTAAGTTTTAGTGGTTTAATGGTTAAAATCCACTAGTTGGCAAAAATTGAAAGTCCTAACATCCAAGCAAAATGCACCAAATAATTGCTTGGCCATGTGCGGTTTTCAGAGCGCACAACCTGAAGCACCCAGACATGCACTGAGAAGCCGGCTGCCCATGAATGAAGAGCAGGCGACGCTCTCCACGGTTCCGGACAGCGCAGTCTCCTCATCGAAAAGCGAAGCGGAGCCTCTTTTTTGTCTTGTGCAAGACAAGCAAATGGCAAATGGACGGTGACTCAAACCCCTAAAAACTCACTTCCTGAAGGGACTGGCCAAACAAAGTCTGATCTGTTCTTTTCTTTACCACTAAAATGGTGTTCCCAAAAAGTGTTTAAAGTGCACGAACTCAGGAAGTGAGAACAAGGTTAGCTATCTTTGCCGTCCCCTTGAAAGCCATACAAGACGGCAAGGGTGCTGTACTTCAGGGCACTTTCTTGGAGAAAAGAAAAACAAGAAAAACAAGACAACCAAAATGATACCAATGCCAACAAACACAAAGAAGCCCGCAACCAGCAAAGCGCACAGAAACGGAACCTATAAATGGGGTCTAAAAGGGAGATGGAACATCCCAATGGGCCCGTTTCACTGTGGTTTCCTTTTCAAACCACAAATATCAGGGTTCCAACTCAAAGGATGACAGAACCGAATGCCAATCACCGCCTTCAAAAACATCTGGGTGCTCAATGGGGGGCCTAGCAAAACTGATAACAACACATTGATCGTTGCAAAAACTATGAATTCTGTCCAATCCTTTACGTTTACCCCCAAACTGAACCGCTCAAGGATATCTGGGTTTGTGTTGTTTGGAGGCCACGGTGGATGCCAACGCAATATTGCGGGTAAGACCATGAAACCTTCTTGGAGGCACTTTGAAGGCAGCACGACTAATATGCCGTCAGGGTCCGAAAACGAGGACCCTACTTTTGACGCACGGCCGTCGCCATCCCCGTGTGACTAAGGACTTTCCTCTGGGCGAACGCTCCTTCTCTTGGCTTGGACAGGACAAATACACGCCAAAACCGGTCTCTGCAAAACAAAAGGCGCATCCCGATCGGTCCTTTACATGCATGAGGTTGCTTTACATGCAATCACCGGGAACCTAGCATATCAGCCAAGACATATGTCTCGAAACAGGGCAACCTCCAAGTGCACGGCTTTTCCTTAGCTTCTCTTTACAACACCTAAAAGGGTCTTGCCCTCAAACACATACTCTGATTTCATATCAACAATCCCCCAAACGGGATTTCCCTCAAACGAAAATATCGCAGGGCTAATGCGGGGTAGCACCCCCCCCCCCCCCTTCTCCCAACAAAAACACAAAGCCTTTTTGGATTCCCTTGAATACCGCCCCAAACATGGCACCTTCTAAAAACACACCCATATCAAACATGCAAACAAACACAAGGCCGTGCGCACTGCGTCGCTGAGCCAAACAAATCCCCCGCTCCGAGGCATTGATGGAGCTGTTGCATGGGCCCTGGCAAGCCTCGGTGGTCAAACGTCACAACTTGCTGCTGCTGCTTAGCCGCTAAACAGCAAAACAACTGGAACCCCAAAGGGCAAAAGGGCCGTCAGGCTAGTCGAGTCCGACGATGAAAATGGGTGTGGTTTTGGAGACACCCCCTTTCAAAGAGGGAAACCAAAGAAAATCATGTTTCTTGAGGAGAGTCCCCAATTTGAGCCAAATGGGAGCCTATGGGGGTCCAATTACACCGGCAAGTCTCTGGTAGCTTCTGCGTTTCCTCTGCAAAATCGAGTTAGACCCCTATTAAAACTCTTCTCCCAAGTTGTTTTCATTGCAAATCCAAGCGGCGGTCTTCATAAGCATGAACATGGCATGCCCCTTTAAGTGCATGAGGTCTCATGTGTAACACACTCCTGCCCTTCAAATTACCAGCGGCGGTTTTTAGCTGACTTGATACGTTCAAAAAACCACTGGGGCCATGCCTTACGGGGTTTCTGACTTCGGCTCTTGTGACTTCATGAGTGATGCTAATCCCATAGCCCGGGGAAGGCCCCGAGGTCGCAAACGGCTTACGATAAGCAAACAGGCAGACATGCGGACCGACGGGCATTCAGACAGACAAACAGACAAACAGATAGTCAAATCGGCAAACAGACAAACAAACAAACAAACAAACAAACAAACAAACAAAACCCAAAGAAATTGACACGCACACAAACGACAAACAAACAAAGAGACCAAGATAAAAACAAAAAACACTGCAAAAACACAGAAACAAACCACCCAAGAAACAACTAACCAATAAATGAAGAAACAAAGAAACAGCGAACCAAAGAAACAGTCAACACCGCAAGCAACCAACAACAAGAATGGACTGAAACTACTTGTTGCCTGCAAGAGTTCCAACATCAGACCAAGGGGATGGTGAAAAGAAACGCAGCAGATTCACGCAGAAGGTGAGAAGTCTGTCAGCCAACGCGCAAGGCAAAACGAAGCGTGGCGGCGCGCTGCTTCTGGAAAGGATAACCCAAATCATCCCCGCCGCTGGCTTGGGGCCAGCAAAGTGGAGGTTGAGGTCTTACAAGGCAGGGCCAAAGCGCTCAGATTTAAGGAGCCCTGAATGGTTCTTGAAAGGCCAGGCCTGCGTCTCCTCTTGAACTTGGCGCACGGCAGAGCTGTTGGTGCGAATCTGGCCGCCGATGCAGCTGTAGTGGATCTGGCAATCCGCGCTCACGTGGCCCAAACATGGAAGCTTCTCTTTGCCTAAAGTCCGTCTACATGAAATAACAGTCCGAAGCCGCACCCAGAGAACTGTGACGTGGCCTAAAGGAAGTCACGTAAAAAGCGGAGCAAGAAGCCAGTCCAATTCAGAAGCGGGCGCCGAGCCTCTCCGACCAGCTGCGAGTTCACGGCAGAGCAGTCCCCGTACCAATCTGTGCAGGATTCGTGTGCGAGCATTCGGGGCGACCTCAAAGCCATCTGTAGAACTTACCCTCGGTTGCTTTCTGCTCCCCTGCTAAAAGTGACTAACTTTTAGTGGTTTAATACGGAAAACCCCATTCATTGGCAAAAAGTTAAAGTCCCAACATCCCTTGGCAAAATCACCAAAGTACCTGTGTAGGCAACCAAGGGAATCACTTTAGAAACAGGGATCCTTACATTATACACCTGAACATTGCCTTATAAATGGTGGTGTCCCTGTATTTTGGTACGGAAAAAAACATGTTTCAAATGGGCAACATGTATATTTGAAGGAGCCCTGAGAATCCAACAAGAGCATGGCAAAGGGCTGCCTGCTGCAGGGGCTCTGATCTCTTCTACATGTGGCATGTAGCGGGACACAACTCGAACTTCTGCTACATGGGTGTGGGTCAAAATTAAACCACCAGGGCACCACAGGTTTTAGTCCTCGGTTCCATTTACCAGGGTTCCATTTTGGGTGCCCATTTTTGACCCACAGCCACATGTCCAGAATACTTCTGTGTGCAAGGATGCCTCCTTTAGCTCGGTACTGCTGAGATCACTTATGATGCAATGGAACATCGCCCCATTGGCGGGGAGTACTCAGTTTCGCAGGTGATCTCTGGAGTTTTGGGCTCTGAAGCACCATATTTTTCAGAATTCCCCTCGGCTTACAAAAGTCGAGCCCAAAGAGACAGAGTCGAAATGGGTTTGTCCTTTTGAGTTGGGAAAGCCAGCCCAAAAAACCCCCCCTTGGGTTTCATATCCATTTGGGTTTGTCTCGTTTTGACGCTACCCCGTTTGCTTCCTTCAAATCATGGAGCCCAAATAGGGCCCCTACCAAAATCATCTCCTGGTTTTGAGATTCCACCTGCAAGAACGCCTCCCGGAGAAACAAATCCAGGTGAGCCACAATCAAACCCCGGTATCAAAATGCCTGACCCAGAACCATGCTTCAAGAATTCAGAAGGCGGATATCCGCAGCTATTTATGGCAAGGGGATTGTCCCTAACCTTCATCTATCCCCAGGTTTTGAGCAAGTGGTTCAGGTCGCTCCGCCCACCCCCCCGCGCTTTCGAAGGCGTCCACGGTGCTGCCCTATGGCGCGAGCGGGGCTTCTGGCGCAGCCACGAATCGCGACCCCGGATGAATCTGGGCTGCCCGTTTTCAGATCCCCCGCTAAAAGTGAATAACTTTTAATCCCTTCCCCCTAATAATACACGACGCCCCCCCCCCTAATTAAAAAAATACCCGGCCTGCAAAACAATTTTTATTATTAGGGGTCCCCTGGTTCTGGAGGGCAGGTTTTGGAGGTACTTCTTGTTCTGTGTAGGCTTGTTTGCAACTGTGGTCCCCCTGTTCCGTTCCGTAAAATCGCTTCAAACGCACATTTCTGAGTAAGGAATTTAAGTAGCGGGAGTTGAGGTCACGTTTTGTTGTTTTTGGTTGTGGGCTTTGGGTCACTCAAAGGAACCTAAAGGAAACGTGCTCCCGGAGCTCTGGCTTGAAAGTCGCAACTTTGTAGTACAGCCGTAGTAAAGGAAACGTGCCCCCGGGGTCCCCCTAATGGGGCTGGATTTGAGTACAGGCAGGAAAATACCTACTTTAGAATTGGTTTAGCTTTGGCTATTCTAAAAGTAGTATTCCCGGATTTGGGACTTCCGAAACAAATATTTATTATTAGGGAGACCTTTATTAATAGGGGGAACGGATTAGTGGGCTCAATGGAAAACCTACCACTAAACACTAGAAGGCTAAAAGGCTAAGGAACCGGATGGCTGGGAGCCACCAAGTAATCAATCGACTCCTGGTGGATCATACTGTGGATGGACAAAATCCTGCACTTTGAAACCATGAGAAACCATTGTTTGTTGGTATTTACAGGGGAATCATCATTCTAGGGTTTCTTGGGTGGTGCAGGATTGCGTCCATCCACAGTAGGGGGGGAACCCCCCCCCCTCTTTAAGTGGCGGTTGAACACGCCCGCATAGGACGCGGGGGTTCTCAGCTAGTCTTAGTCTTGCACCCTGCATTGTTCTCATGGAACCCAAAAAAGGAAGTCCCCTTCTTGGGGCGGATTCCTCTACAAACGATGGCTTTCTGGGGTCCATGTTAATTTGCAGGAGGGGGTGACACATAATCTGAGGGAGGTGCCTGGAGGATGACCCTCGGCCCTCGAAAGGACCAAGGGTGGCGGGTTCCATGAGCCAAGGCAACATGGTCTCAACCAAGGTAACCATATTTCGCTGATACCAAAGTGGGAGAAAAACCCCCCACGACTTTTTTGGGACTCATGCCCACTCATAGAATATGGTGCCTATACTCTATCTTCCACCATGACCAAGGCAGGAGTTTCAGACATGTGACAATTCCCTTTCCACTTCCGCGATACGACTGAGAAACGGCAACCCAACTGATGGTTCTTCACGTAAGAAGGGGTATAACGGTTCCCGGGTATCACAGTGCAAAACCCAACACGTACTTTGTCAGATGCGCAAATGTGTGTGTGTGGGGTTTTCTAGAATGGGAAAGGGGATCCCGGATCCCAGAATCTGGCTGCTGGCTTTCCAGTGGAAGCCACAAACACAGACACAGACACAGACGCAGACGCAGACGCAGACGCAGACGCAGACGCAGACGCAGACGCAGACGCAGACAGACGCAGACGCAGACGCAGACGCAGACG